TAAATACTGGTGAAAGGGTTGTGGGTTTGGGTGATGCTGTGGCCAGTAGGGTTGAACTTGTGGTTGATAGTGTTGTTACGGTGGTTGATGAAGGTGATTCTGTGGTTGTTGGAGCTCTTACTGTGGTTGATGGAACCAATAATGTGGTTGATGGAGCTCTTGCTATGGTTGATGGAACCAATAAGGTGGTTGATGGAGCTCTTACTGTGGTTGTTGGAACCAATGAGGTGGTTGATGGAGCTCTTAATGTGGTTGTTGTAGCCGATACTGTGGTTGATGGAACCAATAAGGTGGTTGATGGAGCTCTTGCTATGGTTGTTGGCATTGCTATTGAAGTTGATGGAGCTCTTACTGTGGTTGATGTAGCCGATACTGTGGTTGATGGAGTGCTTACTGTGGCTGTTGGCACTGTTTTTGAGGTTGATGGAGCCAATACTGTGGTTGGTTGAGCCTTTACTGTTCTAGATGGTGCTGCTTCTGTGGTTGTTGGCAATGCTACTAGGGTTGATGGGATCAATAATGTGGTTGATGGAGCTGCTTCTGTAGTTGTTGTAGCCGATGGTGTGGTTGGTGGAGCCTTTACTGTGGGTGATGAATCTCTAACTGTGGTTGTTGGGACTGTTTTTGAGGTTGTTTGAGCTCTTACTGTGGTTGATGGAACAAATATTGTGGTTACGGGTGCTCCTACTGTGGTTGATGGAGCTGATACTGTGGTTGTTGGAGCTTTAAAAGTGGTTGTTGGCACTGCTTCTGTAGTTGTTGGCACTGTTTTTGAGGTTGATGGAGCTCTTAGTGTGGCAGATGATGCTGCTATAGTGGTTGATGGAATTGCTTCTGTGGTTGGTGGAGCTGATATTGTTGTTGATGGTGCTGCTTCTGTGGTTGATGGAACCAATATCTTGGTTGATGATGCCTCTTCAGTGGTCGATGATGCTGCTACTGTGGTTGGTGGAGCTCTTACTGTGGTTGATGGAGCTTTTCCAGTGGTTGTTGGAACCAATACTGTGGTAGATGGAGTCTGAAGGTCCTTGATGGAGTCTGACAGTGATCGGAAAGTGGTTGATGGAGCAGATACTGTGGTTGATGGAGCAGATACTGTGGTTGATGGAGCAGATACTGTGGTTGATGGAGCAGATACTGTGGTTGATGGAGCAGATACTGTGGTTGATGGAGCAGATACTGTGGTTGATGGAGCCCATACTGTGGTTGATGGAGCAGATACTGTAGAGGATTGGGTTGTTACTGTAGTTGGATCTGCCGCTGTGGTGGTGGTTGGCTGTAACATGGTTGTTATTTCTGTAGCTGTTGTCCGTGCAATCGTCATTGTTTGTGTTGTTACTTTCTGTGTCGTCCATCTTTGAGTTGTTCTTGTTGTCGTCGTCTCCGGTCTATCTTGAGTAGTTGGACTTTGTGGCAAGCCGGTTGCAGGTTGTCGCTGTGTTGCCAGCAGCTGGGCAGTGGGGATCTTTGCTGTTGTTGCAGCTTTTTCATCCGGAGTTGTTGGAGAAACTAATAATTAAAAACACAGGCAAAGAGTATCAGTTTACTTTGTCGTAAAGATTCTGCAGCATTGACTGATTTGGTTTTGTTTACTTCAAAAACTGCATATCTGAACCTGGATGTTTTGTGGACATCCATATTTACGCCTAAATGTTGGTATTTCGTCTAACACCATCTTAGTTTTTTGCCGTTCACCCGTTTTTTAGGAACCACAAGGGACACGAGGGTGGAGCTAAGTACAACAGAAACTGAACAAGTCAACTAATTCACTTTCTTGAACTGAAAACTAATAAAAGGTGAATGTTTTACAGAAAAAACATGTGACCAAACCGGACCATATTGCTGTATTGACCTGTCAATCATGAGGTAGGTATGAGGCTTAAAGCATACCCAGGATTATCATCAACTCTAATCTATTATCAGTACCAAGTTACACTGTGAATTTTACAGGTAACTCCCCATATTATTAGGTAACTATAATACATTTGCACACACCTTAAATAAAGCATTACTGGTATTGTTCAAGTTGTGTAGTGAGGACATAATAATACATTTAAAAGATGTGACTAGTAGCCTTAAGATGATGTTAAGATGATTTTAATATTTTAAGGCCTTTTTCCAAACAAAAAGGATATCTGTATTCAAAATGCAAGCAAAGTAAGACTGTACAATTGCTGTCTTTGGTTGCAAAAGCATAAAATTGGCGGTCTATGTATTTGTCTGGCTGTCGGACAATTTTCTTGGACAGATGACCAGAGATATCGTCAATGAAACTTGATCTTTATAGTGACTCTATCTCCATATCAGGACATCATATACAACAGTTTATAGCCTTTAGTAGCCTGTATTACTAATAAACAAGGTGCTCATTCCTGTGTACATCTTCTAAAAGTTATTCTTGGTAATACTCCCCAGTCTGCAGGTTCCAGACTGAACAGAATGAGTCAGAGCTTAAATTAAACGAATATACGGGCGTCCTGCAGAGACTCACCATGTGCGCTGGAGACGACTCTGCTGGTTAACATGGAGCTCATCCCAGATGGAGAAATGTGACTCAGATTCGTGGGCAGTTGGTGCCATTCTGGGGTTTGAAGTAGAGGATTGGAAACAAGAATTAAAAAGGCTCCTGAAGCATCCTTAAAGAGGACATTAGAGGCTTGAGTTTGCTTTTTGCAAGGTGCTGTGTTACTCACCGACAGGGAGCTTGAAGGAAGACAAGTTGCCTACTGAGAAAAGAAAGAGAAAGGGTTAGTAAAAGGAAGGAGCAAAGGGACTATACCTAATTGTACTAACACCAGAACAAGCTATTTGTAGACTCGTCCCCAACGCAAAATGGATCACACTTTCTCTGAGAAACACCTTCTGTCTTTACTCAAAGTTTATTCCTTTCTGTTCAGGACTACAAATGTGAATTCACTGCAACTTTGAGAAACCAGAAAAAGGTTTTTTCCCAATGTTTTCTTATGATGCTAGCTCCTGAAACCAATCTGCTACTTTCAGGAAGCACGACTAGAAAGAGACACAAACCATGGAAGACACTCAAAATGACGAAATATTAATATAAAACAACAACACAGAGACATTAAATCTCTACAAAGAAATGCAAGTCAGCTGAAAAAAGAAGAGACTCTAAATGACTAAAAAGAGATTCAAAAACACGATGAAAGAACCACAAAGAGGCCGCATCCATTATGACAATGGGAAGAAAAACAGAAGGTGACTCAAACAACTATGAACCAATGTATTACAAAAACCAAAAAAGGTTTAGTGTTGGTAGGACCTTTTTCATGTCCCTGACCCAACATCCTGTTAAGTAAAGTAAGCAGTGATTTAAAAATACTAAAGACTGGAGCAAAAAACTATTTCTCAGGTACGCTGATATTTTCCTGTGTTGTGTTGAGATGTTAATTTAAAATCATCGTGGTGTTTTCTAGCTCAGTTTGTTTAGTTATAATATCCATAAATGTGATTGTCTGTTCTATCCTGAGTGGATTCTGCCCCCTGGTGGTGATACTGCTTGTTCTCAGTGAATGAGAGATGAGATGTGGACACACTTCTGTGCGGCCCCTCCACGATGGTCTGGTTGAACAGCGGTGTGACGGAGCCCACCTCCCACAGGTCGGGCACCTCTCTGCCTGGACACAACACACACAAAATGGTCACACTATCTGTTTCTAAAATACTAAACAGAAGGTGTCCATCGAGATCTACTTACCCATCTTCCCCGCCATCACACAGATGTAAATACACTCCGAGTTGTTCCTCTGGGTTACTGAGACACAAACATAATACACTCTGTAAGTACATGAAAGGTGAAACTCTTGGCAAACATACAGCAGGATAATATCCACATATGAACACCACTTTATGATTTCTGCTATAAAGGAACTACAGCACGGTCACATGACCTCACGTCACCACCGCTAAGCTAAAGGAGGCTAATGTTGGGCTATAAAGGAACTATAGCATGATCACATGACTTCACGTCACCACCGCTAAGCCCAAGGTGGCTAATGTTGGGCTATAAAGGAACTACAGCACGGTCACATGACTTCACGTCACCACCGCTAAGCTAAAGGAGGCTAATGTTGGGCTATAAAGGAACTACAGCACGGTCACATGACTTCACGTCACCACCGCTAAGCTAAAAGGAGGCTAATGTTGGGCTATAAAGGAACTACAGCACGGTCACATGACTTCACGTCACCACCGCTAAGCTAAAGGAGGCTAATGTTGGGCTATAAGGAAACTACAGCACGGTCACATGACTTCACGTCACCACCGCTAAGCTAAAGGAGGCTAATGTTGGGCTATAAAGGAACTACAGCACGGTCACATGACTTCACGTCACCACCGCTAAGCTAAAGGAGGCTAATGTTGGGCTATAAAGGAACTACAGCACGGTCACATGACTTCACGTCACCACCGCTAAGCTAAAGGAGGCTAATGTTGGGCTATAAAGGAACTACAGCACGGTCACATGACTTCACGTCACCACCCTAAGCTAAAGGAGGCTAATGTTGGGCTATAAAGGAACTACAGCACGGTCACATGACTTCACGTCACCACCGCTAAGCTAAAGGAGGCTAATGTTGGGCTATAAAGGAACTACAGCACGGTCACAAGACTTCACGTCACCACCGCTAAGCTAAAGGAGGCTAATGTTGGGCTATAAAGGAACTACAGCACGGTCACATGACTTCAAGATCAACCAAAAACACATTCAGAAAACCATGGACTTCCAAACAGGGAACAGGAAGGTGTACAATTCTGACTAATTTGTAGGTTTAGGACATTTTACCCACCTGATAATATGGAGGCAGATTTAAAAAGCTCATGGAGATAACTGGTTGAGTTTCCCATCACGTCTAACAGTATGGCTGTGAAGTCTGATGAGAAAAATGAAGCAAACCAGGGTTTTAACTGAAACATCAACATAATTAATGATCAAAATTCAAAAAGTATACTTGAATCTACTCACCTGTTAGATCGTTGGTCTCGTTTGTGACGCAGTAGCAGAATCTCCTCCTGAACCGGTTGCTTTCTAAAGTTTTTATGCTGGAAACTGAAAACACACAAAAGACAGATTACAATTATGACATGATGTACATTTTGAATATCATTTGTAGACTTTAAAAAAACATAAGGGCATTGATGGACTTTAAAACAGATTCTTAAATACACTTTCGCTCACACTGCTGCTACAGGGATTCACTTATGTTCATATTTAAATCTCCAAAGAGTTCAAATAGGTCAATGACACACAGAAGCCTTGTAAATCATCTGAAAGATAGATGGATACAGGAAGATTATTTGCAACCAGCTGTGCACTACATGTCAAGTTTTTCTACCCATTCAACTATTCCTTTATCAAACTTTTAACATTTGGAGATTTCTGCAGGAATAGCATTTTTCAGAAAAGTGGATGTCAAGCACTCAATAATAAATACTTTACATAATGTCTCTAAAGGGAAAATAACCGTTTTAATATGTGTATAAACTAATGCTGTCAAAATTATCGCGTTAACGACGGTAATTAATTTTTTGTATTAATTGCGTTAAAATATTTAACGCATTTAACGCATGTGCAGAATGGCCCGCCCCATACATCCCA